CCACTGCTCTGAGGGACACGGGGAATCATCCCCAGCCCCGGGAGGGACCGAGGGACGCGTCGGGAACCCAACGGTGCCGGGGACAGACGGACAGACGGACAGGGGAAGGGCAGATGGACAGCTCGAGGTGCTGAGGGGGCTCCTGCTGCTCAGGGCGATTCCACAACCTCTCGTTTATCAGGTTTTTTTCCCCCTCCCCAAAAAAAAAATGACATGGGAAAATCCTCTGGGAGCTGGAGGCTCAGGAGGAACCTCCGGCTTCCAAATATTCCAGGGGAGGGGAAAAGGAGGGAGGGATGTGCTCGAGGAACCGTGTTTTGGGTGGGACATCTCTGAAATAAAGAAACCTCTCTTTTTTTTTTTTTTTTAATTATTTTTTAATTCATTCATTAATTAAGAAAATGCTTGACGATTCCGGTGGGTGGAGTTCACACCCCCCCAAAAAAAAAGGCAGATTCTCCGTGCTCATTAAAAGCAAACTGAGCCCGTAAACGTTACCTAAGAGGCCTCCTGAAGGTTTTAATCTGTCTGAATGCTATCAATTAAAAAGGTGATTAATTTAATTAATTAAATAGGCGGTTAATTGGCGCGTTTTCCTAAGTGGCAGTCAGCAGGAGTCAGGGGGAAGGGACAGGGAACATGCACGTTGGGGCCCTTCAGGGGGTTTAAAACACCAATTTGAGGCCAGTCAAAAGACCTCGCAGGGACAGGGACCTTCAGGAGGAATTTTCGGAGTCTTCGAGGAGATTTTGGAAACTTCCCGTGGTTTGGAAGCGTCTTGAGGCATCAGAAACAAAATCCCTGCCCGTCACTGGGACGGGGGTTCTGGGCAGAACGTCACCCTGGAGGGGGACTCAGCTGTTGGCCAGGGGTTGTCCCACCCTGGAGGGGCTTGGAACCACCTGGACAAGGGTTTATCCCACCCTGGAGGGGCTCAAAAATCACCTGGCCAGGGGTTATCCAACCCCTGAGAGTCCCAAGTCCCTGTTGGTTGAGGTCAATCCACCCCCTGAGGAGGATTCAGTGGTTGGCCAAGGGTCATCCCACTCCTGGGCGACTCAAGTCCTGACTGGCCAAGGGTTTGTCCCACTCCTGAGGGACTGAAAGACCACTTGGCCAAGGGTCATCCCAGCCTTGAGGGGGACTCAAGGGTTGGCCAAGGGTCATCCCAGCCTTGAGGGGGACCCAAGGGTTGGCCAAGGGTCATCCCAGCCTTGAGAGGGACTCAAGGGTTGGCCAAGGGTCATCCCTGAGGGATTCAAAGACCACTTGGCCAAGGGTCATCCCACCCTTGAGGCACTCTGGTAATGGTTGGCCAAGGCTTTTCCTGCCCTTGAGGGGCTCAAAAAACACTTGGCCAAGGGTTGTCCCACCCTTGAGGAGGATTCAGCAGTTGGCCGAGGGTCATCCCACCACTGGACACTCAAGGGTTGGCCAAGGGTCATCCCACCCCAATGGATTCAATGATTGGCCAAGGATCATCCCACCTCAATGGACTTGATGGTTGGCCAAAGGTCATCCTACCCCAATGGACTCAACGGTTGGCCAAGCGTCATCCCACCACTGGACACCCAACGGTTGGCCAAGGGTCATCCCACCACTGGACACTCAAAGGTTGGCCAAGGGTCATCCCACCCCAATGGATTCAATGATTGGCCAAGGGTTATCCCACCTCAAAGGACTTGATGGTTGGCCAAAGGTCATCCTACCCCGATGGACTCAACGGTTGGCCAAGGGTCATCCCACCACTGGACACTCAAAGGTTGGCCAATGGTCATCCAATCCCAGTGGGCTCAAGGGCTGCTCAAGGGTTATCCCACCCTGAAGGACTCAATAGTTGGGCAAAGGTCGTCCCACCCTTGAGAGGGATTCAACAGTTGGCCAAGGGTCATCCTACCCCCACGGACGCAACAGCTGGCCAAGGGTCATCCCAGCCTTGAGGGGGACTCAAGGGTTGGCCAAGGGGTCATCCCACACTTGATGGACTCAATAGCTGGGCAAAGGTCAAAGGTCATCCCATCCCGATGGACTCAACGATTGGTCCAGGGTTATCCCGCCCTTGAGGGGGACTCAAGGGTTGGCCAAGGGTTCTCCAGATGTGTGTTCCTGCCGCTGGAGATCGTGCAGCACCTCCCCCAGCGGGGAGGGGGCACACCCTCCCTCCTGAAATGACCCTCCTGAATCCAGAGGGTCCCACGCCTCAGTTCCCACCCCCAGAGCAGAGTCAGACTCTCCAGATCCTCCCTCAACCCCCTTGGAGGCTCAGGATGGCTCAGCCTTCCTCCAGCTGGACAAAACAGGGCGTCCCTCCTGCCTTGGCCTCCCTCCAGGCTGCCAAACGTGGCACAAAGGCACCAGAACGTCCCCTGTGGTGGCCCCACGGAGACAGGGGAGGATGTGCCGAGTCAGCTGATAATCAGCGCCCGCAGATAAGTCTCGAGCCCCACGAGTGGCTCTGACGTCTCCAGACGAGATGTGCAGATTATCCCCAGCCTGGAGCCGGGCTCAGCCTCCTCCTGGTGGCACTCAGCACCAAACCAGGCCCTGGGAGCTCTGGCTGGAGGGGCTGAAGGCGGGAGGATCATGGATGGGAAGGTGGGTGGACAAGGACAGGCTCGGGCTCCACGTCCCGCAGAGCCAACCGAGAGCTCCCGGCCCGGATCTCACACGGAAAAGCGGCTGCAGCGGCTCCTCAAAGCAGCTCCGGGGCCGGGGAGAAACACAGAGTTAAAACTGGGCACCGAGGCAGGTGATTCAGCACCAGAACAGGTGATTAAGCACCAAAACAGGTGACTCTTGCCCCGAGCCAAACACCGGAGCGCTCCTGGCTCAGCACCAGCTTCTCAGAGCCTTCTCAGCGTCTTCTGTTCGGGCCAAACCCAGCCCTGTCGCCCAGCCCTGGCACTCCCGGGCTTCCAAGGGAGCAGATTCCCTCTTCTAGGTGTAGGATTCCCTCTTCCAGGTGTAGGATTCCCTCTTCCAGGTGTAGGATTCCCTCTTCCAGGTGCAGGATTCCCTCTTCCAGGAGCCCTCGTAGCCGTTTCCCGTTGCCTTTCCCAGATTTCTGCCCCAGGTCTGCAGCTTCCTGACCCTCTCTGGGGACACGGGGCGGCTCCCGGGGGGGTTGTTGTGGGACTCCCGATCCACCCCCGACAGCGTTTTGTGCCCCTTTGATCTCTCCCCGCGGCGCAGGAACCGCAGCGCAGCTCGGATCAAACGCACCCACAACTCCCCTCCCACTCGCTCCGAATCCTGCTCCGGGAGGGAGGGAAGGAGGGAGGGAAGAGCCCACGGGGGGAGCCGCTCGGCTCTGCAGGGAGCTCCCTGCCGGGCTTTTTGGTGGGATGAATCAGCCCCTTCCCAGCCCGCCGCGTTCCCACGGCTGGAAAATCGCGGCTCGTGCTCCCCCCCCCCACCCCCGGGGGTCGGTTCGTGGGTGACGGAGCCGGGCCGAGCTCCAGGGGACAAAGGGGTTTGGCCAAAACCCACCCCCCACGTCCTGCCGCCCTCCCAGCGCTGCCCACGGGACGCCCACGGCCCCCACTTCTCCTTCCTCCAGCGCGGGATCGAAATCTCCCCCACCCGGAGCTGCTCCAAGGGGGAATGTCGGGAGTTGGGGGCTCGGCGGGAGTGGGTTGGTCCCACCTTCCAGGGGAAGGTGTCCCCGTCCGCGCCAGGGGGTTGGATTGGGGTGATCTTTAAGGTCCTTTCCAACCCCAAACCGCGCCACGATCCGACGACTCTCCCAGGTCTCTCCCAGCCACCCCGGGGTGCGGGTTTGTGGCCCCGGGTGGGGGCCAAGAGGAGTCCCCCCACCCCCCACCCCGAGCTTGGACACCCACCCTGCTCCATCCCCGCCCCTCTGCGGATCCCCCCAAGCCCAGGGACCACCCCTAATTTCCCACCCGCCATCAGGAACCCCCCGAAGCAGCGACACAACGACCTTGTGAATGTTCTCTGCGGTTTATTGGGAACGGCAACATATCCCGGGTGGGGGGAGGACAGCGAGGCTGGGGGTGGGTGATGTGAGGCGGGGACATCTCGTGCCCTGTCGCGGGGGGCCTGGAGGGTTTGTTCTCCTCGCAGACAGCCCGG